ATCTTAAAATGAGTTTAAATTACCATAGGCTTTGCAATTTTTAGCCACAAAGATGGGACATTGAAGCGAATCAGGCAGCAAATCTTAGTTTTTGAGTATTTGGAACTATCATGGATTGTACTAATACACCACCAGATTCTCCGGCTTCTCAGCATTAACAAAAAATTACACCAAAGAACCTGGGATGGATTTTAGTTAAGTTATTGTTTTATTTATTTTCTTTTGAGGACTGGATGGGACTCCCTTTGGAGCCTGTATAACTCAGATGTTTAATTTATCTGAAGGTCAGTGGTGAGCAGACTGGCAGCACTGGCTCTCTCCTGCCCGAGCAGCTGAAGCCCGACTTCCACTGCTCTTCCCGGCCCAGGAGCAAGAGATTGGAAGTGCAAACAAAACCTGGGTCCTCCCGCAAGGCAGTGCAGAGCACTACCACTAAGCCACTGGGCTGGCCCTAATCAATTATTTTAAGCTTTGTTTATTTATTTCAAAATCATGTCTCTGTATATTGGAGGCATTTCAGTCAATTGCAGTAAAATTTAGGATATAATGGCTACAGTCTAGAATTCAAAACCAGCAAAAGAAACTGTTTTCTGACTCTGGTTTAAAAAAAAAAAAAAAAAAAAGACATGTCTGTCTGTCTTTCTCTTTCTCTCTCTTTGTGGGTGTTTGAACCCCTCGTTTGTTTTCCACAGCCATTCATTGTACTGGCGTAAACAAAACTTTCATATTAAAATAAAAGTATGTATGGGAAATGGTTGGCTTCTGTGAGAGTGGAAAGTAGATTAATCTAGGACCGATATTTTCATAAACCAGTTGGAGACGACTAATAATTATTTGTTCTCTTCTTCAGTCCTTCCCTTCCATGAGAAAATTTACTGTTTGTGTAAAAATTCAAAACGTTGATGTTGGTGACTTTCTTTTTTTTTTTTTCAGCATATGTTTTTGGACCTGGTTAATCCATGCTTGGCTTTTCATTAGATCTTGTACTCCTGAAGGTTAAGCTGCTAACCAGGTTTATAACATGTATGTACCATCACTTTGTTTACCTGAGTCTTTTTAATTTGAATAAAAATAGTTTGCAAAGTGTTTTGGATTAACCAGGTTTGAGTGTCCCATCAAGACTTCGGTTAGGATTTTATTTCAAGTAATTCTGGCTGTTGCTGATGCAGATTTTATCAAGTCCTTGGTACGTGCATGCTTGTGTGTGGGTAAAAAATCCTTTTTATATTGTCCTCTGTATTGCAAGATGTGCCTGGTAGTGAGAACAGTGAGGCTGAAAAATACGGTTGAAAATTGAGCCATAAAGAGCATGGACAGTAAATCTTGAAAAATACACGATGCATCGGGATCAAGCTGAGTGGAGATGATAAGATTCAGTCAGTCCCAGTTGCCCCCACATTAATTGCTTTGAAAATAAACAGCAAGCCTTAATTTCATACTGGAAGCTAACCTGGTTCAGGACTCTCTTTTATATAGCTGTATAATAAAGGAAATTAGAACAGTAATATGGAAAAAAAAGCATCTTTTACACAATAAAATTAAAATCCAGAATAGAAATTTTCTTTAATACCACAGACAGCAAGAAAAATTAAGTGGTATCAAGCTCTTGAGTCCCAAGGTGCCTCTGAAATATATTTTACAAAGAGCAATTTAAACAACCAGAAGAGATAGGATTATATTTAATTAACATGCACTCATGGCTTGGACCTGGGGGATAAACACTGCCTGTCATGCAGGCTGCCAGCTTTACAGAACTTCACCTTTACAAAATTGGATGGTGGATGGTGCAGTTGCACAGAGGAGACTAATTCTCATCATCCTCCACGTTGTGTTTGCTCTGTCTGAGACACTGAAAATCATCTGTAGATGAGAGATAGTTTCTTCCTGCACCAAGAGGGGTCAGAAATCCAGTGCAGAAGTCTGGCTGTGCTGATTATCTTCTGTTATCATGTGTCATCTGTATCGTGTGTTATTGGAGGCAGCAGGAGAGACACAAAAAGAAATGGAGAAGAATGCAGTGACTTGCCCAGCAGAACCAGCACCGGGTGGCTCAGCCCAGGTTAAGCGAAGCACGATGAAAGCCTTGGACAAAACCGGTGAAGGATGGTTGATCCTTCATGAAGTCTGTGCAACTGTCTCTACAGGGAGTGCCCAAATTCGGTTTCCATTGAATGTTTTTTGGGAGGACTATAATTAATCCTTGTGCTTGGTGCATCCAGTAACAATTTAGGGAAATCCCTCGGGACCAATCATCCCACCTGTGCCTGTTGCAGATTTTTGCACCTTTCTTGAAAGGAGCTGGGGCTGGCCATAACCAGAGTGCAGGTACAGTTCTGTATCTCTGTATGAAGTCTAAAGTGAAAGCTCACCTCCACTGAAGATAGTAAAAGTTTTGCTCCAGGGAAGAATTCACCAATACGTAACGGATGACTATTTTTTCCTTTTTCTGCTCCTGAAAAGCTGGGAAAAACTCTGCTGCAGCCCTGTGCCAGGGAGGAGTACAGGCTGGGAACATACACGCTTCCTTTACCAGAACTTTTCAGGAGTTCCCTGGCTCACCACAGATCTTTCAGCTGGCAGCATCCTTGGATGCACGCAGCAGGGAACCGATCAACCAACAGATCTGTTCTTTCCACAAAAATGGCAGTGAAATTGTCCCCTCTAATGCTGGAGTGGGAACAGCATTGCTCCTCCATAAGCATCACTCACTGTTTGTTGGAAGATGACTCTTCTGCTGCTGCTTTACCGAGTTGAACTTTTCCATGCTTGGTATCTATATTGGACTGACTTCTACAATTTGGAAAGCTTTCAGCAGAAATGCTTTGCTAATTCTCAGAATCTCCTGCAGCAAAGTGAACACATGAGACCGCTGCTCGTCGATGCCAAGCTGCGTTCTGGGCTGACACCAGATGAACTCCCTGAAGAAGGGACAGACGTGCTCAGCCCCAGAACTGGCAGGGGCTCAGCAGCGCCTAAAACGAAAGCCATGTTCCTGGCTCGCTCCCGCAGCGCGTAACAGCAGCAGCAGCAGCAGCGGTGCGTTCCCAGTGCTGGCCCCAGCTCTGAGCCAAAGGAGAGTTCTTGCTTCCTCCCTGTTGCCCACCACCGTAGGAGATGGATGGGGGGAGCTGGTGGATGGGAAGGAAATGGGGAGATGAGAGCCAAAGAGAAGATGGGAAAGAGATCGCTGGGGAAGGCAAAGAGCCCAGAACTAGGAATCAGCAGGGATAAAACTGAGAAACCAAATGAAGACCTTGGTTGTTGAAGCTTGGGTGTAGATTAAAATTGATAGTAAATCCCCAAGTGTGCCCAGTACTGGAATGGGCCGGCCACTGGGGCCTTTGGGCTACTCATTTCCAGTGTCAGCGAGAGACTGGCAAAATTGAAGAATGCTGAAGGATCAGCACTAGCAAACACATTGTGGAATGAATACAGTTCAGATTTCTAAATGTCAAAGCTGCATCTTCTGTCAACAGATCTATGTTGCCTGAAATGGTACGATGTCAGCTTGGAGAAGGATTTTATTTCTGCAGTGGTCACAGACAGAACTCCCTGACACCGGACTTCTTGTAAGCACCTGGAAGCACCTGAGATGATACCTTCCAGACACACCTGCTGCTCTTGGCTGCAAATGGGAAACAGTGCTGCAAAATAAGCAAGAGCTCTGAAGTGAAAAATTGGGCCTTGACTCACTGCTGTCTGTGAAACACTGTTACAGCAGGGCTTAGGGGAACCCACCAGCAGTTTTCACATCAGGCTCCCAAGTACTGAGAAGCAACAAGGACACGGGACTTTTCCTTAAAAAAAGCAAAGATGTTAAAAAACTTATTTGTTCTATGGAAACCAAGCACAAGGAAGTTCCAAAAAGCTCAAGAAGTGAAGGCAGATGAAGCTCAGCAATTTTCAAAATCTGGGGGTTTATTAATGCCTTATTCTTTAATGTATTGCTACAGTCGGGATTTACTTCAGAGCAATGATCTGTGACTGCAAAAAAGCTTATGCATGAGTTTCTGAATTTGGGCTCTACCCCGGAACCAAATTCAAAATCTAGGTTCTTGTTACTTCTCTCCAAGTAACCTGTTTGCTCTCCAGTCAAAATATGCAGCAGCACAGTCACATCTTTAATTCTTTGTCAGTTTTTTATATCTCCTGAAAACACAAAGCACTAGTCCTCCAGATTAGTCCTTGGAAGACACAACACAAAGTACAGTGATTACCCTCCGCCTGCAAGCTGAGTACCTGCACCAAAACATCTTCTGAACAGCCACTGTCTCTTTAGTTGATGAAAACTTACTTCTGTGGAAAAAGGCTGTTAGGAATTAGCACAGGAATGCAGGTGAGTATATGAACTCCCTCGGGTTTGTTTTTAGCCTGAAGAATTGGCTTCTTGTGGAACCCTCAGCATATACACATTACTATCAGAAATAAACCAATTGCATTAATATATGATCCTCACTGATTGAACTGCACCAGTCACCCCAACGCATAGTGACTGATGGGCTCCCAGCACCCAAGAGCTGGTGTCACTGTTGGGGAGGAAAAGCTGTCCAGGACTGAGCAGTTAGAGCTCTGTTGTCCTTCTCTGGGGAGACAAGCCCTGCAAACAGAATTCAGGCTCGCCAAGGCTGCCGTTGCACGTTCCTCTGAACTTGTGCCTGTCACCGAGTTAAATGCATCAGGCTTTTCCCCCAAAGCCCTCAGCTCAGTGCATTGTCAGAGTAGCAACTCTGGGCATTACAACCCTTGTAGGCAGCCGAGCCTGAACCCACGGCTGACTTTCCAAACAGTGAGGGCTGAGTAAACAGTGAGCAGTAAGCCTGTCCTCTTTTTATCTAGTTACAATTATGCCACATTGGAAAGAAAACAAATCAGATTCCAGAGCAGTTTCTGTCAGCACAAAGGAAATTAAAAATTACTATTTCCATTGTGCTGAGAGACTCTGTATGCAATATGTAACACTTCTTTGTGTCTCATCAAGCAAAGAAAAGCAGTAGCCAGGCTCTGTTTACTCAGTTTCGTTTAATTAAAAGTATTAAACAAACATTAAATAAGTGGCAGAGGCTTAAACACAATGAACTTTTCGTTATTGTATTTGACTTCAGTGCAAAATATTAAAAATATGAAGTAGATGGAAGAATAAAACTGCCAAAACCATCTGAGACTGTATTATGCAAACTTATGGATTACAGTTCATCTTGCAGAGACAAAATCTTCCCCTACCATCAACGTGTCAGTAATGCTTCTTTGGTATTAACAGAGTTGAAGCATCCAGGACCTTCCCCTTGAAATGTTCCAGCTAAAATTCATTTTTTTCCATCCTTGCCTGGTACTGTCTTTCAGATCGTTTCCTACGGTAGACATCATCTGCCAGAAAAAGATTTTTTAAGATTAGCATTTTCCAAGTGCAAAATAGTATTAAATGCGAGAAGCCTGTTATCTTTTTTAAACTTTTCAATCCAATTTTCTCTTGCAGACACTGACTGACAGGCAACTGAAAACTCAAGCCAGCACAAATCCTTATTACCACTTAAAAATAGCTCATGTTCTCCCTCCTATCCAGGCTAAAGTTCTTCCCATTAGTCCTAATGATATGTTTTTATAGCAAAACTAAGTTTCCAGTGTGATACAGTAATTTCTTGTCTGCTTTCCCATGAGGGTAATTAAAAGCACAAATGCCCAAATTGGCTGAAGCCAAAGGGAAATGAAATTACAGGCACAAGGTCAATACCTGAGGCCTGCCAGCATAGCTTCAGTATTTTACTTTTTTTTTATAAATAAACCACAGGAATAGAGCCACCTTCCATAGTCTTCCTAGTTGTTCTTCCTGCCTTCCTTGAATATCCACCACCAATAATATCTTTTGCTGACAAAAAATATGAGGTCTTGTACATTATCACTTTGCATAGATCATGGAGCGGTAATAAGGCTAAACTGCACAGCTATTGTTACTGTAGTACAGTATCCTCTAGGCATAGCAATTTTAATATTTTTTTTTTGCAGGAAAATAAGGCTCGAGCTGAAATATACTGGCTGCAATGGAGATGTTGTGCTTTAGTTTCTAACCTGACTTTATTACTATACAGGTACACCTCAGAAATATTAAACTGAAAAGCCACAACAAAGCCAAGCCTTCAGAAGTGTGCAGAGAAGCAATTTTGTTTGCAGTGAGTTTATCAGCTATGGTAATTGTATCAAGCTGTTTTGTTTTATTCTGCAGGAGATTCGGCTAGATTTCCCATGAAAATGAGAATATTCTCATATACAGTAGAGCTAATCCTTCTTCTGAAGTTAACAAAAATTTCTAGCGAGGATGATAATCATAGAACGTTTAGGTTGGAAAGGACCTTAATTGAGTTCCAACCCTGCCCTGGGCAGGGACACCTCCCACTAGACCAGGTTGCTCAAATGCCCATCCAGCCTGGCCTTGAACAATTCCAGGGATGGTTTGTTAAGTGGAAGAATGCCACATTAAAACGAAATGCTTTTAACTTCTAGAAACTAAGTGCCATTAGCTAAGTTCTCACGACTCATTTTCCTATTTCTTTTTCAATTTAAGAAAATCACGTTTCAGATGAACCCACACCTAGACTTGAATTCTGACAGTCCTGAGGAGTCTTTTTCAATGTGAGAAAACGTAGCTTAGTATTCTAAACTCAGTTTTGTTTGGTTTGGTTTTTTTGTGCCCCGTGTCTTCTGCTAGGGAGGCAGAATCTGGCCTGTCACACCCTGCACTAAAGGGAGGAGTGTTTGACTTGCTGATCATCTTGAAAATCCTCCAGGTGAGGACCCCCCACCATCAGACCCTGTTAATTTGTCGTTGTTAGGGGGGGGTGGGGGGGTGGAGAACGGGACTCCCTCCGTTGTGTTGACCGCTGGCAGGTGCTGTGGCTCCCGGTACGAGGTCAGAGCCGGGGCAGAGGGGGGGGGGGAAGCAGCGGTGCCTCAGCGGGGAGCAGGCCTCCCCCCGCGGCCCTCACTCACAGAAGGTCTCCTTGCCGATGCGGACGTTGATCATGAACCACTCCATCGCTCCCCCGAGGAGGAAGAAGAAGGGCAGGAACCTGTAAACGCCGAAGCGCTGCTTCCCAGGCACCAGCTGCAAGAGGCGCTTCACCCTCTTATTCACCAACATGACCGGGCCGGGATCGACGCCTTCAGCAGTTCGCCCGTGAGGAAGAAAACAGGGGGGAGGCGTGTGAGGGGCAGAACGGCACGTACAACGGCTCCCAGCGCCCCGCGGTCAAACCGCCTGTGGGAGAGCCCCAGACGCAGGGCTACAGCTTCCCGTATTCCCCGTTACACTGGCCGAGGGGGTGAGGTGAGAAGGGGGTCGCCCAGGCCCAGCTTCACCCCGCTCCCCGGCGGCTATGGCGGGCGGGCGACCATGGCGGCCCCTCGGCCTCGGCCTCGGCCCCCTCCTCCTCCCTCCCCCTCCCAGCCCGGCAGGGGGCCGCGTAGCCAATCAGTGCCTCGCCCAGCGCGCGACCCCGCCAGCGAAGGGGAGCCAGCCCTGGCCGTGCGCGGGCTGCCTCGAGGCTGCGGCGTCCGGCGGCACCATGGCGGCGGCGCTGAGGAGGGGCAGCGGCGCGGCCCCCCGGCTCCTCGCCGTGGCCGTCTCCTGCCAGAGCTGCCGCCCCAAAGCCAGCCAGTGCCCCGGGGATGGCGGCCACGGACAGCCCAGGGACCACCAGCCGGCGGCCACCGGCAGAGCCCGGCGCGGCGCCGATCCCGGTCCCGCCGCGGGCAGCCAGCCCCTCCCGGCCGAGGGAGCCGACACCAAGACCTACTTGTGGGCCAGGTACCACGAGATGAAAAAGCTGGTCTACGGTAAGGGCCGCCTCCGGACGCTGGGACTGCCACGTCCTGCCGGGCTTGGGCTTTTCCCCATTTTGGTTTTTTTTTACTCCTTTTTTTCTCCTCTCCTCTTTGCGTCTTGGTGTCTTTCCCCGCGCTGCAGAGCTGGGGATGTGCCCATTGCTGTGGCAGCTGCTGGGGTTAGAAGCCTTCTCCCTGGCAATGCCATCTGCACGCCTCCATTGCCCCCGGCCCTTGGAAACAGTTTTATTTCTGTTGAAATCTGGACCTGGTCTTCCTCTCCCCATCCTGGGCTTCCCTCTGTCAACATCCCTCAACTGGTCTCAGCGTTTTAGGACATACAGAGTGTGTGGGGTTCTTCAAAATTGCCTTCCCCCACACCACCCCAAAATGGCAAATGGTCTAAATGAAGGGCTGGCTGCATTTTTCTCTAATTTGCCATTGGTTGGCACACGGAAAGGTGGTTAGACTAGGAAAAATAGACAGTCATGTTTGCTGATGTGGTGAGGAGTCTGGTATCCAACTTGTACCTCACCATTGGCACAAGGGTGAAAGTGGAGGAGAGTGATGCTACAGCTGCTAGGATGTCTCCTGATCCTGAGCTCAGTTTGTGTAACAGATGCGAAACACCTTTTACGCGTGTGTGCATGTGTGTGCGTTTTTGCTCCTCTGACCAAGAATTTACCTGGCTCTGCCAGGTACGTTGATGTCTTGCTAAGTGAGAAAGCTCATGCCACTTGCCTAATCTGTTCATGCGTAAAGCAGGATTGTGGTCTTTCTGGCAGCAGCAGATCCCCACTGTGTTAAACTCTCCTAAAAATGTGAAAGAATAGCTTTCATGGCATAAGGGCAGGGCACTTTTTTCCTGCTGGTTTCTTGATTCTTGAAATGCTGAAGGTAAGCACTGTAGAGAGCCAGGGAGTATGACTGTGTCTGCTGCTAAATAGCTCTCCCTTAGCTTTTGTTTGTCTAAGGGTTTGGAGGACGGCAACCAGCCATAGGCATCTGGAAGAAATGTCTCACTGTTCTGAGACTGGCAAGTTCTGTCATTCGTTCCTCCCCCACCTTCCAGTACACAAGATTTGACATAAAATTTGAAGTCCTTCATGATGCACAGATGTAAAGGAATTGGCTGCTGAACAGTCGGGTGCTCAGCGTGCTGCATTCCAGCTTTTGCAGGATGCAAGCTCCTTTCCCTGAGCTGCTGAAGGCAGTACAGGGTGCTGACAGAGCACCATAGCTTCGTGTTAAGTCCCTGCTCCAAGACCGAGTCGTGGTTTTTGCCTTAAGGCTTGAAAGAAATTCTGACTTGCAAGGCTTGTACTGGTGTTTGGACCTTAATATCCCCAACAGCGTTTTTTTTTTTCTTTGCTTTTCCATAATGGTATTGAAACTGTAAATTAAGATAAGTTAATAGGCTGTGTCATGGTCTCTTGGGAAAATGCTCACTTTACTATGGACAGATTGTGAAGTTTGTATTGACATAGTTACACTTTGCTGGGATGCAAGAGATACAGTTGTCACTGAGGATGGAAAACTAATCAGCAGGACTAAGTGCAAAATGAAGTTAGGTGAAGTAGCCCCTGTGTTAGAGAGCAGACTTTTTACAAACCTTCAGGTAACTGTTAGACGTGTTAAGAAGGCCCTTATTTGTTTAAAGAATAGCTCCCCAAACCAAAATTTCAAGACTGTGCTGTTATTCAAGTCTTGTCAAGAAAAAGCATAAACAAAGTTGGTCCATGTTGGTTTTAATTGTTGCTTTGGACAATTAAACTGAGTTGTGCAAAATGTGACATCAGTCTGTTCCTTTGTTCTTGATTTCTAACTGATGTAAAAGTGAATATTGGGTTATGGATTTGAAAATCCATTGTCACATCTCAATACTCATCAACAACTGAGTTTGAGAACACTCTTGTGGTACCACCTTCTCCTCCTTCTCTGAAACTCCACCTTTGTGGAGTCCTTGGTCCTATATTGTCAGTTATTGCTATTGGTTTTGGAGAGAGGTCTCTGCCAGGAGAATTTACTGTGTGTTTTCAAACCAGCTCTTGCTTAGGACCTGATTTATAGAGCAATATTGCGTTTTTGTATAGAGGGGACTCCAGTGATAAATGCAGACCAAGTTGGACAAGGCAGGATGTGTAGGGTGAGAGCTTCTGTGCAGTAAAGCTCAGTGGTAGTATTGGTTTGGTGGCCGGAGCCCAGGCACCAGAAATTCTCACCTTTGTAGAAACACATCTGTGTTCTGCCAGGCTTGAGTGTGGTAATACAAACAACATTTTATTACCTGTAAGAATTCGAGGCTACTGCTTCTACTTAATGTGAGGTTTTTTTCCTCTGCCAAAAGGAAAAGTATAATTGCATTTGTCAGAGTGGTGGTGTTGAGTGAGATTTGCTGTATTTTGGTTTGATGCCATCTGAAGTGTCAGGGAAGGCAATGTGCTCTCCCAGTAAGCAGCGTCTGGAAGTCTTGCACTCTGTGAAACATCCAATCCTGAAACTCAATTAAACTGGCAAGCATGTGAGGATTTGGCTGTAAATAAACGTGTATGTTTTTTCCTAGATCTTTCAAACTTGTAAACATAGCTATAATAAATCAGCTTTCCAAAGGAACCTTTAAAATAACTATAAAGTAACTTCTTGCCTCTGCCTCACAAGCTTGAGCGTGGTTAAATGTGAGAACTACTGAAAGTTTGCAGATAACAAGAACTTGGTTAGGCATTGATAACACAGAGGAGGTAGCTCAGAGGTAGTCCTTGGTCTTTTTAGTTTGTGTGGAACAAGAGATACCTTTGTATCTAAATAACTTGATGCAGTCAGCAGCACATGTCCATTGTGTCTGGAAATGGGAAAGCAGGTGACAGCCCTGTGTGATCACTGCATGGGTGATTCTGGTGTGGTGCACAGGTGGCTTTTTGCAATCCAGCACATTTTGATTCTGCTTGTGTCACTAATCTCAAGCAGACACAAGGATTTAAGGTCTCATTCTTTATCAAACCAGGAAACGAGTCTAGTGCTATGATAATAAATGCCCTGCAAATTCCATAGGAAGTGTGCTTGTTTCATGAGTTGTGGCATCTTCAGACTGAGCTGGGACTGAAAATGACAGTTAACAGCCAGAACTGGAAATGTGGCCAGTTATGTTAACTTCCAAATTCCACTTTCCTAAATATTAAGGTTTTTTTCTTGTAAAGAGGTGCCTTTGTGCATATTAAAAAAATGTTGTTTTGGAAAGAAATGGTATTTTTTAATATTGCTTTTGATTTGTGTCCATTTCATTGGTGAGAAATCAAAAAATATTGAGGTATAATGGCATAAGTTCAAGACTATACTCCAGAGTAATTTTCAGCACTTTTTAAACAGTTCCTCTGTCATTTAATGCTCTTTAAGTACTATTTCCCTCTCCATACCATCATGTTAGAGGCATCTACTTCTCCTGGTTAGGGTGCTTTGCAGAAATTGCTGTGAAATGGTACAAAACAACACTTCGAAAGGATAAAGAGGTGCTTGGAAGGGAGGAAAAATTGGCAGTTTGTCTTAAGAAAGCAAGTCAGTGTGAGCAAAGGGAACTTTTTGATTCTTGAAGAACGTGGAGGATGGTGGCCATCTGCTTTTCAGTATTGCTCTTTTCCCTGCTAGTCTTACAAAGAAGTTAGGACAGATGTCTGCTGTATTGGACCTCTGGGCGTACAAAAGGTGTGAGAGGTGGGTAGGTGGGTGCGAGCTGCCTGTTTTATGTATTAATCTTCACTAACATGCTGGGTCGGGGGCTGAGAGAGAAGGAGCAATTCCTGCGTGCTGCCGTTGGTACCCCCGGGAGCTCAGAGAAGCACAGAACGTGCTTGGCACCTCCTGACCAGAGCGTTTTTCACATCAGAAGGGGCCATATGGTGTCTTGGCGTCTCTAACGGTTGTTCGCAGTTAATTACCTGCTTTTGTTTCCATCTCTGCTGTCATGTCGGGGATTGAGTGTTACTGCTTTCTAACAATGTGGGCTATTGCCTGGGAAGAGACGCTTGTGCTGTCATGAAGATATTCCAATTTAAGCAGCTGTTCAGAGCCTCATGGTAGTAAAATGAAGGAGATTATGTGTGTTTACCTTTGCATTTACACCCAGGTGTAAAAAATTCATGAGATCAAACACGCTTTCTTGTGGTCTGCCTTTGTTGCTGAGTTTCATCATATGCAATGGATATGCAGACACTTCCTTTAAAACCATCAGAGTTGCAAACCAGAGCAAATAGTGCAAGTATGCAGATTCCAGGGGTTTGTATCTATTGCAAGAGCTGGTTTTTCCCCACTGTCCTCAAATGTACACACGCCGGTTCTCCCTTAGATCATACTTCCTGGGTGAAGTGCTGAGTAGACAGTGACTAACTGTGATATTGTCTCCCTTTCCAGTTAGAACTCAGATGGAAAGATTAGTTGGGATTATAATTCTTTTTAAATAACCAAAACTGCTTTTTTTTTTTTTCTTTTTTTTTTTTCTTTTCTTCTTGCTGTAATTTATCATATCTGTCCTGCAATCTATTTCAGTGTCTTGGCAGAGG